AGAGAGAGAGAGAGAGAGAGAGAGAGAAAGTGCGTGTGTGTGTGTGTGTGTCCGTCGCACGTTCCTCTGCCGAAGGTGTTGATGGCAGCGACGACACGGCGGGGCCAGCCCTGTCCCACCGCAACAGCAGCAAATGTACAGTCATTTATCACGCAACGCAACTTCGCTTTTTCTTTGTTATTCATTTTCCATCGTCCTGCGGTGGGGCTGCAAACCGCTGCAGATGCGCCGGGGGCGGCACGGGCAGCTCGTTCCAGTCTACCTGTGAGGCTGCGTCTGCCCGAAGGGGTGGTGGGGCAAACTCCAGCAGCGGCACGGTGAGCCGTTCAGCCCCCTCACCCTCTCCCACGTCCTCCTCGCTCAACTCCTCAAGGTACGGCATGCCTGGCATCAACTGCGGGTACTCGCCGCGGGCATTAGGCACCGCCACCCGCGGCACGGGGTCGCCAGGAATGAGGTAGTACAACAAACACGGCCGCGCCGGAACGTACGGCAGCGTCGTGTGGTCCCAACAACAACGACGCACAATGGGCATCTCACATGTCTCCACGTTTTACTGCCGCCCTTCCTTGGTGTTTTGTGTATGCGTGGGCGGGTGCACGCGCCGGACGCAAGAAGACAAAGAGAGAAACCGTAAGATGTGGGTAGTCGAATGCGCCGAGCACAAATCAGCTACGGTGCGCACGAAACTCCAAGCTACTCCCACGGCGGGGTGAGAGGAATAGTCGCAAACGTTGTGAACTTCGTTGCCGTGCGGTTGAAAAACGCAAAATCGTTGTCGCACAGCTGCGCAAAGCTGCATTTTTCACGCAGAGGAAGGCGCCGTGCGGTGTGCGGACGGCCACTCCCCCACGGGCTCTCTCGGAGCCCACTCCGGCCCAAGCCCAATCACACAAACAATCACACACGCATGCAGGTGCGGGGATAACGAAGGGCGGTGGAAGGTTACGAAGCACGCCGGGCCTCATCGGCCTCGCCAGCCTGCACCTGAGAAAGGAAACAAACGCAAAAACAGAACAAACACAAAGCACAAAAAAAAAACGCAGGCGCAACAGCCAACAAGAGACTCTTCTTGCGGAGATGCAAGATGATAATAAACACCTCGCCGCAGCGCTCTCTCACTGCCCCCTCGTTACACGCCAGATTCCGCCAAAATTTACAAGGAATTAAAGAAGAACAGAAGCCTGCACACCACGAAACATGACGCTTGACAAATGTGCCTCTTCCCTCACCCCCCCCCCACATACACACACACATACTCACTTCCCCACGCCTATCATCCTCGCCGCGTTTCGTGTGACATCAACACGGTGAAGAGAGGCCCCTTTCCACACGGCAACCTCAACCCGCATACATCGCCATCGCCTTCAGCAAAGGAGGATGTCGCTATTCACATACGGCGTGAAAGAGAGGGGACAAGAGGGAAGACATTCAAGGCAAGCCAGCATCCACACCAGACGACAAAATGAGACTGGAAGTCTGTGCAACTCATTTAGCGGGCGTACTGCGAGCGGGGGAAAGCGCCATTGTCTGCTGTATATCGCCATCTCCTTTTTCCTCGTCCGCTGCGCCTGCTTCCTCTTCCTCTTCGCCTTCACTCATCGCCTCACTCTCCTCGTCCTCATCTTCTTCCTCTTCCTCCTCCTCCGCGAACTCTTCTTCCTCCAGAGTGATTTCATTCAATACTACAGGGCTTTCCCGTTTGGCGCGGTGCTTTTCATGGAATGCCTCGCCGAGCGCCCGGGGCGGCGCAAGCGTTGCCAACATCTCATCGAAGCCCCGGCTCATCGTTCGACTGCTCAACCGCTGACGCAGCGACCCGCAGCTGCTGGCTGCCTTGTGAAGTTGACGGCTGGCGCCAGCCTCGCCACTCTGCTCAGTCGCAGGCGCCTGTGGGGCCGCCCCGGCCCCGTCAGCGGCGCCGGGGCCGTCGGCATCCAGGCCTGTTTCGCTCACAAGAGTTTTCAGCCACACCCGCGTCGTTGCCGCGTCGTACGCCCCGACGTCCCCAGAAGCGCGTGGAAGCGCACCGCCGTCTGTGACGTCCGCCGTCGCATCCTTCTCTGCGTCCAACTCGTCGGTGTTGTAGCTGTCGGCGTCCCCGAGGTTGCGGTGGCGCTGCCGCCGCTTCTTGTGCTTCTCCGCCTCATCAAGGATGGGGTCAAACGTGTCCACCGGCCGCGACACGTCGAGCAGGGCAGCGTCCTTGTCGGCAGCGTCGTCCTCAAGGCGATTCCCACCCGTCAACCACTCGCCGCCGCCAATGGCACGGCCCATCTCGAGATCGTCCACTTCGCCAGGCTGCCGCGAGCCCCAGAGCTTTATTTTCTTCGCAAGGCGACGGTATCGGTACTTACGGCAGTAGCGAACCAACACGTACCCCAGAAACACGGCAGGAAAAACCAGCAGAAGCAACAAAAGGAGGAAGAGACGGTCAGAATCGTCTTTTTCTCGTGCTTGGAAGGATCGGCGGCAGCGGCAGCGGCAGCGGCAGCGGCAGCGGCGCGAGAGTCAATATACTGCTTCCTTTGTGGCGGGTCCATCTCGATAGACGGAACCGCCACTCCTTGTTTACAAGGCACACACGGGGGAAAGCTCAGGGGGAAAAAAGAGGCAAACCAACATGCACCACGCGTGCGCGGCGCCGCCATCCCTCGCCATGTTCAGAGGAATAAACAAAACAACAAGAGTAACGATATGGGCAAATAACACCGAGAAAAGATCCGCAACGACCTTCACTTTTTTTTGTTTCCCCAGAATGAGGCAAAAGAGAGAACGCTAAGCGTCACAACGGGCACAGCAAGTAAGTACTTTGAAACAATGACGCACCAGCGCACACGGACCACAACCATCTCCCGTCGCACCTCGCCGCGCAGAGCGCACGGTAGGCCCCACACCCTCAGTAACGGCTCCATGTGGCGTAGATGACGCCAATGATGTAACCTTCACACGTCATGCAAAAAAAAAAAACACACACACACACTTATCATCCAGAGAGTCTTCTATGGGAAGGATCCACACGACTTGTTGGTGGCTATACAGGAGCAGCGCCACAGAAAGACTACGGTGGGTGCTCATTTTTGCCGCAGCGCGGTTGCTGCTGTCATAGCCTCTCGCAGCACGGTAGCAAATGCCCCTCTGCCTGCGGTGCTGGGGGAGACGGATAAAGCGGCGGGAAGCAAGGGAGCCGTCGGAAAAGAAGAAAAGCTGGTGGAATAAGTTGCGAATTCACGGCAAGAAGCCATAGCGTCTTTCGCCGCAATTACCGGCGCATTTCCTGCGGAAGCAGAGTCCGGCGTGTGTTCAGGCAAATACTCGCTGTGATGGTCTCCAAGGAAGGTCGTGCCTCGAAGGGTGCACCGCGGTGCAGCGTCGGTTTCCTTGACTCCCCGCGAACTGTCACGACGGCGAGGCGCAGTGAAGGAGAGGAGAGAACCCTGATTGTGCCCAAACGCAGTATCCAACACCACCCGCTTTCGTCGCTCCAGCGCCTCCTCCAGGCGCAACTCCAGCTGCCGCAACTGGCCAATCCTCGCATGACGCTCCATTTTTATGTATGCCAGGGTTTCTTGTTCCTGCATAGAGAGCTGCTGCTGGTTCCACGTCGTCTGCTGCTCCACGCGCTCAACGCGTTGCAGAAGCTCCTCCTCTTCTGTTTCAAGATTGCCAATACTGGCAAGAAGTGTATCCCGCTCCTCCTGAGCCAACTGTGTCGCATTAGACTCAAATCCTCGTCTACGCGCTGCATGCTGCCTCTTATTTTGCGCAACCTGCATGGTTACCGCCATCTGCATCAGCACCATGCGGCGTGCATGGTCTTCGCACATGTGCAGCTTTTGCCGTGCAATGTCCTCCTGTAACCACAGCGCCACATGCTCGACAAGCAGCCGCCCACGCAGCTCCGCTTCAAAAGAATATGAGAGAGCAACACACGCCGTCTCGTCGTGGTCGCAGTCGTCAGCTGCGGGGTCGCCAAGAAAACCCGCTGTTTTCACGCCCATAGGAAGGGTTGCTCCCTGCGCTGCAGCAATAAGCTGCATCGCCTGCCTCCGTGCCACGGATTCAATTCGATCGGTCGTCTCCCACTTCGGCGCCATGAGACTCTCATGTGACCGACCCCTCCCTGCGGACTTCATCGGCGCTGAAGAAGTTCCCCGCGTCTGGAGCGGAGTCTGCCCAGACCACAGGAACTTCTCATCCCTCACCGCGTCCAACCCCTCCACCGATGCAGCAAGCGGCCCTCGCTTTTTAGGCACCCCCACCACCTGTTGGCAAGGCGACGGCGCCCCCTCCACGGGAATGTTGTACTCGTGACCCGTCGAGGCCGTCCACAGGGCAGCGCCCAGTGTGGGGGCGGAAGCGGCACTCGCGACGGTTGACCGCCTTGACGGGGTGAAAAAACCACCGTGCTCCTTTTGCAGACCCGCCAGAAGGAAACTGCCGTGCCTCGTAGGAGAAGACGACGCTGCTGCCGCCGCCCTTCCCCTATTCCCCCCGCGCAACTCCCCCAGCTGACCGCGCTGCGCCCCCACGGGCCCGCCGCCCCTCTGAGACGTGCGCCGCGAGGCGAGGATCGGCGAGGTGTACGCAAAAGACCCTTCGCGTGGCGAAGAGACGGCGCCACCGCCGCCACGCATCTCGCCCACGCTGAAGTCAATCAACACCAACACCATGCAATCAAACGGAGGCAAAGAAACAAAAAAAAAAGGAAATACATACATCCAAGGCAAACGTGCGAGTGGGGGAAGCAAGGAAGCCACGCACGCAAACACATTCCGCCCAATCTGGGCAGCTGCAGCACCTCAAGTGACTTGCTCTTCCATCGGGAACGGCGCCACAACGCAGGCCAGGCACACACGTACACACTCTATCTCGTAAAGACAAACACAATCCGCCACAAGACAAAGAAACAAGCAAAAGAGTTGTGTCGGGAGGAATCACCAACGCGAGACAGCCTCTTCATTGATAGGGCGATGCCAAGCTTGTCCTGTTTCCTGCAACCTCCGCTGCATTTTTTCTCTGTCCCCTATTTTGGCCCTTGTCCACATAACCTCCGCGACATGTTTATTGTCAAGGTACGCCATCCAGTTCTTCTTCAGCAAGCGTCCCTCATCCATGGACGTGTAGGGTGCGGAGAGGTCCATTGGCAACGCTACCTTCTTTGCGCCCGGCGCACCACGCGGACGATACTGTGGCCCATGCAGCGCAAAGTACCTCTTGCCACGCAGTGTCAAGGCCCAAGACTTGCCTTGCGGACTATTCAGCCACTTCTTCTCCCACTCCTGCCGAGCGCGAACCTCATCGGCAGGCAGGTAGGCCTTGGCCGCCGGAATAGTGCGATGTGTCGTCGGAGTGGGGCCTTGACCCATATGCAGCGTCCCACCAATCGTTTCTACAGAGTCTTCTGGAACCGTGTAGAACTCGGGGTTGTCACGAATGCCCATAACAATCGGCTTTAGGTCCTTTAGAAACTGCTTGTATATGTTCATCTCGGCCTGCTCCATCAGACGTCGGCCTTGAGCGCACGCATCCGCGTAGGCAGCCAGGACAAGTTGCTGTTGCCTGTATGACGAGAGTTCCTCGACGCACGGGTTCACCCGCACGCGCTTCAGGAATCCTGCCGGCGTCGTGACAACTTCCACCCGGCCCTCCCACACGCGGCCCACCACCTCCATACGATCAAAGCGAATCTGGTGCTCGTACTTGTTGTTGTAGACGTAGGCCAAAATGCGGTGAAACTGTCGTTCCGGCATAAGACGGCCGTGGTGCGCCCACAGTGCCCCACGCACACGCTCGGTGATACGTCGATACACCTCCATCTGAGACTCTTGTTTCTCCCCTCTCCCTCCCCCCGAATCCAACACCCTTCAAATAAATTACAAAAAAAAAAGAGGTGACATACGTGCAACATACAATTATAGTCATACTGGCAAGGAACAGGGTGAGGAAAGCGTCAAATATAGATTCACATTTCCTTCTCGCCCGCCCAGGCTCGCCCCCGCCGCCGCCTCTTTTTATTTTCCCATACAAATAAATAAATCTATATATATGTGTGCATATTTGTGTGTGTGTGTGAGAGAGAGAGTCAGCACTAATAGCCGTCATAATGGGAGTGGTGCCAGATCCTCTTCCCCCGGGGTTGTGGCATCCTCAGAGTACCGTGCCTCCAACTTCATGTCAGACTCCACGTATCCAGGCAGTGTGTGCGCAATAATTCCCGTGACACGGAGCCGGGAACGTCGACGACCCGCGCTGACACCGAGTCACCCGCGTCGGTAACGCACAGCCCCGCCTCGTTCACACCCGCAAATGACTGCGAGATAGTTTCTGCGTCATCGCCGAGAAAAACATGTGCTTTGCCGTAATTTGTCAGCCCTACACGTTGAGACCCCGGTCTGTGCCCCGGGCTAGCGTCTTCAGAAGACGGGGACCGTAGGATGGCATCCAGAACGGACTCTCCCTCCTCGTCACCGCTTGCCTCGACATCACCACCGCCTCGGTGAAACCAGCTGTGAAGCGCACGCAGCGTCTGCGCGCCACCCCAACCTCGGCTCCACGCCCAAAGCCACTGCAGCATCGTTGGCTTCCCGACAGCAGAACTGCCAACAGACACAACGTGCAGCGGCTCACGACGAAGCGATGCGGCAGCAGCCGCAAAAAGAGGCGGGTGACATCGACCACCCGCCCCAGTTGGAGGGCTCGCTCCTTCCCTCCTCGCCTCCGGGAGGCGAAGGGGACAGCGCAAAACATCCGCCTTCACTTAGCGCAAAGAAGGGGCCCTCGCTAATGAAACTGCCACTTTTGGGGCTCGTGGGGGAAACTATTGCAAACTGTGAGTGACGCGAAACTGGCAGGCGGGTGCCGTGACTGTGAGGGTGCCGCCTCAATTGCGTCATCAGGTGAGCTCGCCAAAACGGTGTCAACGAGGCATACACAGGCAAACACGATGCGCTGGGGAACGCTGCGGATGCAACCGCCGCAAGCCCACAAGAGTCAAGGTCCGCGGAGAGGTACAATACGCCATCCGCATTGTCGGAAGGAACAAAACGAAACCCCCAAGATAGGCTTCCCCCGTGATGGTTCAGAGACTCATCCTCTCCAGGAGAACCCTCGTCACCGCCTCACCGACGTCAGCACCTGACGACGGTGTCGCGACCGACGCAAATATTTTTTCCTCAACCCCCCCCCCCCCTCCCACCAGTTGTCGAGGTCGCGGTAACACGCACGCGTGGCAAGGGAAAAATGTATCCAGCCGTCGGTCGAAGCTACTGCCGCCTGCACGACACCTGGGCGATCTACGGCGCGTAGCGTCCACCCCGTCGACATCTGCTCCGGCGTGTCGTCAGCAACGAGCACGAAACGCGAGGCAGAATCCACGGAGGGGGTCAAACACAGCTGCGGGGAGTCACCTAGCGGACAGGCGAGTGTACCACCTGCTTCACAGTACTGAACAACAAGCCGCAGCTACCACCTCACTGACGACTTCGACGGTGCCGACACATGACAGGAGGTGAGTGCTGCAGGATTCAATGACTGCTGGGAGGCGTTATTGATAACGATAAAAAGAAGGATTCGCGCAGCGGATTCATGAACTGCTTCGAGTTGGAGCTGGGGTGGAATTTCACCTGCTCCACAGGTAGCGGTGTTTCGTCGAGGACTCCGCGGAGGGCTCCAAAGCGATTAGCTCGAACACATTCTCGGAGAAAATCGGATCCGCCAGCGACGGTTGCTTCTGTGGGGCGGAGGATTCATCCGCATCCGCAAGGGCAGAGAGGCACTGACAGGCGGAATCCGCAACCTCCTCGTGCGCTGAGAAAGTTGTGACAAAAGCTGGTGTCGACGCCGTTGCAAGTGGTCTCTGGCTCCAGTGCGCCCGCCACGCCGCGTCACTCTCCACAACAAGGCACAAACAGCACTGAGTTGAACACGGTTCTGTGGCCTCATCGCAAGACTCCTGCCGAGAGCGAATCAACAGATGTACAGCGGACTCCACACTGGGGGACAGCAGACCGCGCTGTAAGCTCCTCCACCAGTCCGCAAACCACATGGTGGTCTCTGGAAGTGGTGCATCACACTCCACGTAGGCGTCCTCGCGATGAAACCACAGCAAGATGCAGGGACGCTGCTGAAGAACACCTGTCGGAATAGAGGCGACAGCACCAGTGACATGAAGCGCGCTATCGCCAGCGGCGTAAATAAACCACTCTGGAGATGTCAATAGATCCCACTGCACCCCACTCTTCATCCCTCTGCTTAGATGCCATCAGTTGCGTTGTAATCAACTCCACGAGTTCTTCTCCGCCTGGCACGTCCTTTGTTTCTCCCTTGGAGTTACCTCCCACCCGACACCCAGACAACCTCTGCGGGGGCGCTGCTCTTGCCTCTGCCGCCGCCTAGGAGCAACTGACGCAACACCGCGTCCCCCGTTAGACTGATTGCCCGCCGGACGACAGCGTTGTCAGCAGACAAAGAAGAAGAGGAAGAGGAAAAGAAGAAGAAGGATGGGCAGCGTACTTGCAGACAAGGTCCATTGCAACAGCACACAGGCCTGGCCAATGTCATCCGCTACAGAACACGAGCATCCGGCAGCGCCGCGGTCACCCACCACTCCATTTGCTGGGTTCGCTAGCGGCAGCACTCGCATCGTTCCCTCCAGGCCCAATGCGCCCCAGCCAGCGCATGCTGGCATTAGCACCCACACACACGCCACCTTCCTCCTGCTCTTTCCTGCTTTGTCCTTCTTCTATGGGCAACACGAGGGGCGCTGCAACCGCACGTAGAAAAAGGAGGAACAGGAGCGAGACAAAAATCTGCTCTGGCGCCACCCCCTCCTACAACTCCAGTCCTCAAACTCGTACACACGGAACCACACACACACGCACACGCACACATACACCCAGAAAACCCAATAACAACATAATTGTGAAGCAAATCCTAAATAATCCAATCACCGGCCCTTCACACGGGACGTCGGCCAGTACGTTGTCCGTTCTCCATACCTTTTCCATAGCCCCACCGGCATCGAGCGGTAAGATATTTTTGCGGTGCTATTGAAGTGCATCTGCTCCTGAGAACGCAGCGTCCTCGCTTGCCGAGTCTCGTTCATGTACTTGGCCGCCGTTACTTCGCCTTCAAACCTCTCAAAGCCTTCCGTGACGCTGCCGGAATTGCGAAGATACGCCTGCAGTTCCTTCTTCGTCATCCCTCTCATCGCCGCCTCCTGCTTGACACGCTCCTTCTCTTTACGCAAGACATCCAGTGCCGTCCATGGTGACGTCGGGCGAACAGCCACAGCCTGTTGCACGAACTGACGGGCCGCCCACTGCGAGCGCCGCTTTTCCACTTCACAGGGTTCCACCAGCGAAGGGCCAAACTTCTTCCCTGCCTTATACTCTGCGAGTCGGCCGTCCTCCTCCTCAACAAGAAAACGGGTGACCGATTTCATGTGAAGACGCTCACGCCACTTAGTCTCCTTGGCACATCGCCGCTTATTCCGGCCCACCGGTGTGCCCTGCTGTGCGTAATCGCCCAGAAGCCCTAAAAACCGCGAGACGGCACCGCTCGTTTGCTGACGCATCGTTGAAGTTCCGCTTGTCCCACCAACTCCAAGCACAGCGGAGGGCAACGCCGCTACGGTGGACGACGACGTCGTCATCGTCGACACGGCGGCTCCATCGCTTACCTCACGGTCCCCCACTGGAGTGGTTGGGCCATTGGAGCCCTTATTACTGTCACCATCCGCTGGTGCATGTGTCGGGCCCTTTTGTGATGCTGCAACAGAGTCGTTTTTCACCTCATCGCCAGTGAGAGCAGTTTCCAAGTACGGCAACTCAATCCACTCTGCATCAGGTCTTTCAAGTCCTGTATTCAGCCGGTAGGTTCCGTATTCCGACGTATGTCGCTGAAGCGGATGAGAGTGACGCCACGCTAAGAAGCGCTGTCGACGCCTCGCCTTCTCATTCGCGTCAATGCCGAACGGGGAATTCTGGTTGGTACTGCTGTCTTTCATGTTCGGCCTGCTAGTGGGCATGCTCCTGTTTTTGTCCGCGGCGGCTGAAGGGAACGTCAGCAATGGCTCCTCAGCTGGCGTGCGCACGTGCGCATCCGTCGCTGCCGCATCACCGCCATTCAGCGGAATTACGTACTTTTGCGGCCTCATTGCTGTCGGGGGCGACGGTGCAGTACCTGCGGGAGAATCCGACGGTTTGTGCCATTCTTTTCCCTTTAATGCTGTGAAGAACGCCTTCGCTTCCTGCGTCCCCACCCTATGGGCCTCTTGTACGCGTATTGCCTCCTGCTCCAACGCCGCCGCCATATCGGCGTCCGCCTTCGTCTTCAACAGCTGTCGCAGCCGATCGCCTGGGATGAGGCCGGAGGTTTCTGCAATCAAACCGCGGAGAAACTCAATGTTGGTGCCGTCCCGCGCGGAGGTGGGTATGACGAAGGGAAACACCTTTCGGTACTTGCGGCGGTTCTTCGTGATGGTGGCATAAATCTGCCGCATGACAGAGCACACGCGCGAGTGTGGCACGGAGTCGCACTTCGTCAAGACTATAAAAAACACCCCGTGCAAGTTTTCAAGCCACGCAAAGTAACGCAAATCCACCTTTGTGAGTCCACGTTCGCAGTCAATGCAGAAAAGCACTGTATTCACAGAACGCCGCACACCCAGATAGGCGTCTGTCAGCGCAATCGCTTTGTCGCGCCACTGATCCGACATGCCCTCAATGCCAAATCCAGGAACATCTACAAATGTTAACTGCACCCCGCCGCCAGGAAGCTTCACCAGGCCGTTGCCCTTTACATTGAGGTATCGCTGCATCTCCTCTGGTGAGACACTCTGGTAAAAGGAAATTTGTCGCGTCGTGTTCGGTTGACTACTTGTCTTGGCTACCGGCTGTCCGAGTAGCGTATTCAACAGACTCGACTTCCCCGCACAGGCCTTGCCGACCAGGACAATTTCTTGGTACAAGTCGTTGACCTCAAAAAAGAAATTGTGATTATCATACAACGTTGGTTTTCGTCGGTTCCGCCGTTGTTGCCCCAAGACTGTGGTAGAAGTAGCATGCGCCTCATCCCGCGTCACCCCTGCCTGCCGCACCAGCGTGTAATGTTGGCCCAACATGACCTTGTTTCCTAGTTGCTTGGCTTCATCTGTTATTTTTCCAAAGCTCAGAGGCGGTGGTGGAACAAGTTTGTCCTTGTACGTGTAGTCCGCCGGGTTCGGATGCGTCAAATCATACAGCGCGCGACGTCGCTGCGCAATAAGCTGCTCCCGTTCCTCCTTAAAGGCATCAGTTACCAAATCAACCACGTCCGACCCAACCCCACGTGCCGCCGGGTGGTGCTCCGAGAGCCTCCCCCGCTCCGCTGAGGCGGCCACGTCGGCGAGCTGCCTTGCGTGGACGCCATCCAGCACGACATCCTCATCCACGGCGTCTGCGGTGGTGCAGAGGGCATCCGTGGCGGGACGGGGCTCCAGCTCCAGCAACGCCTGCTGCGTGGCGTGGCGCGGCCTTCTCGCCGCGGCTGCCGGTAGGGCAGCGAGGGCTGCGCCGTCCATCACCTTCCGCGCCGCAGACTGCTGCTGGGAGTAACGTGGAGGTCGGCGGAGCGGCACCCGCCCGAGGAGTTCGAAGGCGACGGAGGAGGAGGCACACCGCCACACCGGCGTCCCCGCACGCATCCACGCGTCTGCGCCGCCGCTTCCCCCCCCTATGCAGATGGATCCTAAAGTAACACCAAGAGAAAAATAAAAGCACAGCAACACTCACACACACACAGATATATATATATATATATATATAGTTATATTTATATTCGTCGCATGCATGCAAGCGGGTGCACACGTTGCACATGTAACCCGCGCACAACTACAGAAAGAGCACGTGCTAGCGATTTAAAAGACCCACACGTAGACGCAGCCAACGTCTATTGCTAAACATACGTTCCGCACGCGGATGCCGACAAAACTCAACACGAGGCAAACATAATTCAAGCTGTGACTTCTCCCCACCACCACCTGAAGCGCACACACAGCAGCCGGAAAAAAAAATACTCTCCTCTTCTGCCCTCTTTGGAGGGTCTTTTTCCTTTTTCTTTTCTTGTTCCTTTTCCTCCTTATTATTTTCTTTTTTTGATTTTTTTTTCTTGACTCCTTCATTCGATGTTGTTTCACTAATAATCATTGTTGCGTTTCCCCCCCTCCCCTCCCCTCCGCTCCCGCTGCCGCTCCCTGGGCGTCATTGAAACGTGGAAGAGCAAACGCACGCACACGGCTAACGCCGATATATATATATATAACATTATATGTATTACACCTGCATGCGTGCAATGATATACATTTGTGCTCAATCAGCATTGCCCTGTTTCCTCTTTCCACCTCGGCTCAGCCGTGCTGCTTGCGCCGCTTCTACTCACTCGCACAGGCGCACAGGTGACGCAGCGAGGAAGCAAAATAAAGTAGAGGCATGGACATCGGGCGCGTAAGGGTGAGAGGTGGGAAAAGAGAGAGACACTTCTCAGCGAAGGACCGTCGTGAGGGGGCAAACGCTAACATGCAAGCTAAAAAGCAAGGGAGAGGACACAGGCACACAACAAACCGGCACACACATCCATGGCGACAAATATACACACATATGCACGTGTGTGTATTGATTTAAATACATACATACAAAACGTGCACCTGATAAAACAGACCCCAGACGGGAGCGTACCGCACCCTCAATATGGGTCTGGACATGAGTGTGCCTCGAAGACTCCACCCAGTCATTCTCTGCCATGCCCACACCTCTTCTCAGCCCGCCGTTGGGGGGTGCAGCGCCTTCAACGAACGAGAGAAAGAATCAGATTGTTGAAAGTGGCGCCACGAGAGACACGGGTAAGTGAAAGAGTTGAAAAAAGCAGTAGGTGCAGAAGTATTACACACGAGACAAGAGCAAAAAAAGCAAAAACAAAAAGAAATGTCAACAGAATGGAACTTTCGAAGGACCGATATATATATATATATATATATGTATCATCAGCATAGAAAGGAACAAGACCCATATGGTGCCATGTATGAATATAAACCACCTTTGTCCGCCCCCCGTGTATGCCTAAGTATGCGCACTCCGTTTACTCCAAGCTCTACACCTTCGTTCTGCCTGCGGCAGCACATGTCTTTGGATTCCACCGTTTCCCTCTTCTTCCAGCACTTTCCATTTGCTATCCAGCTTCTTCCTTGCTTCAAATTCTCGCGAATGCAATTCCTTCTCCTGTTCACCACCCTCACTCTATGACATCTCATCAAGTAATCCCCTCTTCATTCCTCCCCCAGAAACTGCCTTTGTAGCTCACGTCTCTGTACATATGTGCATGTCCATATGTGTGTGTTTGTACCAGATAAAATGCTTCAAATAAGTTTGCCTTTTCTTTACTACAAAAAGGCGGCCCTTTGCAGTTCAATTTTCCTCCCTTGTTTTGGTTCAGTTATCTCCCTTTCCTCCAAAAATCCAATAGGTGAAAAAAAATATGTAATTTTCACTTTTCTCTTGTCAAGCCCTTTTTTGATTCTGCCTATGTATCCGCAGAAGTGTAATTGACGCACGTAAGTTATCTCAATCCATGTCTCGTGAAGGAAATACTCGGCTGTCCGTAGGAGCCCGCACCCGGCCCAACGACGCATACCTCTCACGACACTCATGAAAGCCCCAGCCTGCGCGCGTCTCCCACCACCGCCAGTCTTTTTTTTTTAACTTCTCTGCCACTTTGATTCCTTCTTTTTCGTTTTGCTTTTCCCCTAGGGAGGCGAGGAACCTCCTTTAGAGCCCCCGACGAAGAGCGAGGCCCTACGCCTTCTTCCTCCCACTCACGTTTGCCGCACCGCTACCGCTACGACACACTCAAAGCGTGAAGCCCCCGTAGGATTCCTGACATTGCTGCATCATCCCCTATTTTCTTTTCATCCTTCAGCCAAGCAAGTTTACCCGCTCTCCCCCATTCGTTTCATCCCCTTTTCCAATACTGCGGTAGCTGCAAGGCACCCCTTAGCTCCCTGACGCCACACAGCTTTCGCCGCCGCATCCCAAAGTCGCCACCCACGAATGGTTCAAGCAAACTCCTCGCGGTGGTGGACGCGGGCGTAGATCAGCACCTGTTGAAGGTCCTGCTTGAGGCTCTTTAGCTCCTCATTCTCACGCTCAAAGCGCTCGCGTAACTCGCGTGCCTCCTTGCCGTTGTCTTCAACCACCTGCAGCTGTTCCTGTAGCTCACGCTGCTCCTTTGCATAGCTGCGCTTGTTATCCTCAAGCTCACGCTTGGCGTTTTTCACCCATTCCGTCAGCTCCTTCAGCTCGTCCTCCAGCGCCAAGAACTCTCCAAACTGCTTTGCCTCATCATTGTACACACGGCCCCTCAACGCATCCCGCCCCCTCTGCGAGGACACCAGTCGCTCCTTCACATGTGTGCCACGACGGAAGTGGTACCGCTGGTCATCATTCAGCTGCTTCAGTCGGGAGCGAGTTTCAACAAGCTTCGCCATCTCCGCCTCAACGCTCTCACGCAATTTTGCCTTGGCATTTTCGCGCCCGTCCGTGTTGTTGTTGATCTTTTCTTCCTGTACCCTGTAAAGCTCGGCGCCGGCAGTATCTGCCGCACGAAACTTATCCCTCGCAGCCTTTACACGCTGAGGCAACTCCGCAAGGTCCGGCTTTATCCAGGAAGACCCATCCTCGAGGCTCTCGTTGGGTTCTTGCTGGCACGCGCTCTTCCAAAGCTGCTGCACGCTGGACCGCTGGGCCTCCTCCTCAGCAGAGTCGAGGTCTCGCTCGACAGCCGGATCGTACTTCGCCACCAGCTCATCGATAGCAGCAAGCTGCCGCCTCATCCGCTCAGTGTCCTGCTTGACAAGCCCCAGTTCCTTGCGCAGGGCAAC